AGATGCTGTAACTTGTGGTTATGTGGGAAACTCACCATAAAGCACCATAAAATCAAATCTTGTGAAACCATACAGGAATCTGACCTGAAAAATTTTTGGATCTGAGTGATATGTGATCCTGACACAGTGACTGTTAATCACTTTAGATGTTATCCAAAAACTAGAAGGAAAAAATATTTCCTAGTGTGGCTGGAACCATGAAGCACTGTAGTGTTCATAGAGGTTCCAGTAACAGGAATTTTGAATTTACTTTTCCTTCATGGTGTCAGAAGGAGTAACATAAAATTCTGTATTTATGTTTGAAAGCAGTCTCAGTTTTAAGTTCAAGCCAGCTGTACCCTGAAGCTGAAACATGGCTATATTTTGGCAGCAGGGAAGACTGCCATATGTTGCAGTGATAAAGAAATTACACTCATGCCAATCTCTAAAGTCAGTCTTCTGTCTCTTTAACAGTCGCACCCTTTGTAAATGCTGCAAGCCGCAATTCACTATTGTTCTTGAGAGAAGTTGTATATAATACATAAATCCATTGCATTTCCCTGTTGCACAGAATTGCTTGCTCTCTAGCTCCCAGCTTTCAATAGCCATAGGACAATTCCGTTCTTTAAATAAGTTCTTACTTATTGACTGGCTTTTAGTGAGCACATACTGAAAATAGATAAGAAGATCTTTTTTTTAGGAGTCGTTCAGTCAGGCCTCTAAATGAGAGCATGGTTCTGGAGACCCTGGACTTGGCTGGCACCAATATGACATACTCTTTCCTTTTTTAAAGTCAATATAGCCTGTTGGTTTGTAGCTCTCATGGGTGAATTCCAATGCTCTTAAAATTGGCAATTAGCTTGTTTAAGTGCCAGCAGTATGTCAAGGATCTTTGAACACAACTATTTGTATTCTTGATATGTAAATAATAAAGTGCATTGTAGGATCTATTCTTACAATGAGGTAGTTCCAAACCACATCTACTGCAACTTAATGCAGAACAAAATATCCAATACAAAATATGGATCTCAATCATAAACTTTCTGTTTCCTATTATAAACACTGGAGCTGCTGTTTCTCATCACTGAAAAAGGACTTCTACTGATCCATAACTCTGACTCTTGAGCAGTTTCAAATTCTCTCCATTCACCAGTATCCTGAGATACATTTGTTAGATTGCCAAGAAGTTACTGAAAACAGACTATGGATTCCACCAGCATCTTCTTTTATGTCCATAAAACATATGGACATAAACCACCATTTATGTCCTTGAGCTCTTGAAAGAACTTATCCAGAGATGCAATAGATTTGTTTTGAAGCAGAAGTTTTACTATTGTCTAGGTCAATAGTTTCCAGGTACACATTTTCTTGCTCAGCAGTGATGGTAGTCTTCAAACTTCCATTTTTGACAGTATACAAGCTAAGTTCTTCTGTATCTCCTGTGCCAACAGGTTCAGCTGGCTTTGCACTGAGGACACCAATTCATTTGCATTCTTTGTATATATACACTTTGCCATTTCCACTTCTCTTAAATTCTCATGGTATTTTGCAGCTGAGAAAAAACATTGGCTGTTTCTTTCTGTAATTTTTTCAGAGTGAGTTAGAGATCTCCTAAGAAGGTATTAATTGCTTTTTATGGCCCTTCATCTCATCAGCCAGAGCAGAAAATTTCCTTTTGTTATTCTGAAATGAACACTTTAGTTCCAGGAAAATTTCTACCATTGGTGTCAAGATATTTAATGCTCCTCCTAATCCATATATATGCTCCCCAGTCAACCTGAATGGCTCAGCTTTACTAGCAAATGGCACAGTCATATTTTGTAATATGTTTTCAGACAGTTAAGAAAGTTCAGTGATCAGCAGGTAAAAGACCCTGGTACAACTAATGCAAATACATTATCTGCTGAACAACGCGTAGATATGAGGCCATCTATAAAATATGCATAAGATGTCAACAACTGTTGCTGCTTCAGGCAGTTCTCACTAACTGAATCGTGTATTTTATTGACCAGAATATTAATTTCTCCTGCCAGTGTATTTGGATGATAGCATTGTGTCAATCACCAGTTTTCTTATGATACAGTTTTACATGCATACATCATTTGTATTAGCAGACCAAATGGCTAGCTGCACCATGAAGTTTTTCTTCAGTGTATTCAAAACTGAAACCACATATTTTTTTCTCAATCAGAGGAATCTTGGTTTCTTGCAGATTTGTCTGTGATTTTTTTCAGTCATTTCTCCTTGATTTGCAGATCTGTTTTCATTGTTTCATTACATTTATTAACTGTGAATGGTTTAGTGATTGTTTTCACTTCTTTTTCCATGGTGCTCATTATATCAATATATTCTGCAACTTGTTCTTCCCAAACTGTCAGCTTTCCTTTAAGGGCTTCATGAATTTTCAATGAAAATATAGGTTCCATTTTACTCTTGTGCAGCAGTGAGGTCTCCTTTTAACTGCTCGGTCTCTTTAGTATCTTCCTTAATAATAGCGCCTTTGGCAGCTGCTGGTTAACTTCAGGTTTCATTGTGTTCTTTGCTGTATAAGCATACTCCACTGTGCTCAATTTTTCCTCAGGATTTATAGACGTGAGACAAACTGTGGCTGTTATTGATGTTCTTTGTTGTTCTCCAAGAGAGTCTTGAAGGATTCTATTAAAATTCTCCATGTTTTCTTCCACAGGAGGAGTAATAACTCTTTCATGGATCAGAACAGATTCCTTCGTGTTTCCAGCTTCACAAGCTCTTTTATCAGCTGCCCCAAACTGTAGTGTTTTTACTTTTTGCAAGTTTATATTCCCAGTTCTAACAAGCTCTTGGTCATCTGCTCAGGTTACTTTCATATGGATGGTAATGGAAAACAGTAGGATCAACTGGAATATGATTCATGTAAGTAACTGCAGCAGTTCTTTTTGCTGCACCTTTTTCCAGAATTTGGTAGGCTTAATTTTTGTTGTGTACAGCTATTTCTTCTAAACCTTTCCCATTTACACCTTATGGGTCTTGTTTATGGGATCATCAAAACATCTGCAGCACTGGGAATAGGATTCAGAAGTTCAAAAAGCTCTTCATTATATATTTTCAGAAGAGAAAATTTTACAAAGAAGAATAAAAATCAGTTTCAATTTGTGACTTTTTCTAATATTCAATACAATGTATTGCAAAACTCTTTTCAGTGGTGCCCAGTGACAGAATGAGGAGCAGTAGCCATAAATTAAAGCACAAGAAGTTCCACCTCAACATGAGGAACTTCTTTACATTGAGGGTGCCAGAGCACTGGAATAGGCTGCCTGGAGAGATCATGGAGTCTCCCTCTCTGGAGACATTCAAAACCCAGCCAAACATGTTCCTGTGTAACCTGCTTTAGGTGGCCCTGCCTTGGCAGGGGGAGAGGACTGGATGACCTCCAGAGGTCCCTTCTAACCTTAACAATTCTGTGATTCTTTGACTCTGTGTAGCTGGAAGAAAATCCTCTTCCCAAGCATGTTCTTCACTGGAGCTTCCCTGAAATTGTGAAGGTCTTTCCAATACCAGTTTGGCCATAAATGATCACTGTACAGCTGTACCTATAATAAATTCATCAAGAATATGACTACACTCCTGTACATATCAGTTGTCCATGACTCCTCCAGTGCATACTCTATAATTTATTTTCTTGCTTGAAAGGCTACAGTCTACAAAACAGGCACTTGCTCTAAATCGTAAGGGATTAAAAGGCACCACACCACCACCTGGATGCTCTTGCCCTTTGCATTCTTCATCTAACCACTTGCCTGAAGTGCAAGTAAGACATGCTGGGTCTCGGGGCCAATCTGCCAGGGAAAGCAGCAAAGCACTGAGTGCCCCATAATACTTTTTCACCCACTCGAGCTCCAGCCAACTGCCCTCTGCTCACGTTCTGCTCACCTCAGCCACTAGCACTGTGCTTCCTGCAGTTCTGCACTCAAGCTCCTGCCAAGCTCCTAGTTACAGTGGCTCAGAAGTGTCTTAGGGAGACTCTATTCACTGCTTACCTTGTCATGTCCACACACTGTGCAGTGCAGCAAGGTGTGGATATGTTTAAGCTAACACTGATCAAAATAGCCCTGGAACGAAAGGTACTGTAGCCACAACAATTTTATGTTGCATGTGAGTTAAATGGCCCTGGTACGAAGCATTGGCCTTGTCTTTCTGACTCTGTTTTGGAACAGAAATGGGCCTCTGCCTGGTATTGCACTGCATCAGCACCAGCCTGCTTGACACTTGACTTAGGGAAGGTTTGCATTACTACCCAAAACACTCCATATACTGCATCTGGCACCACACACTCTCTGAACCAATTTTCCAGTTGTTGCTGTCTGCTCTACAGATGAGGAATTGCACTATTTCTAGATATCTTTCATGGACACCTTACAGCAAGGCAGTTCACGTCAGTAGGCTTAACTAAAGGCCCACACACTGAAAAATGTCTTAGGAAATTGTCATATGAGAAAGGCTTGAACTCCTCTGATGTAAAATTTAACATGGAGGTATGTTGGAGATGGAGGCAGAGATTTTTGGGATCTATTGTTTTGTAGATTAACTGCACAGATCAGAAGACAGGAACTGACTCCTAAGAAAATATAGTAGCAAGATGCAGACTCTGCTCAAAACTAAAGCTGCTCCGTTCAATTCTCAAAATGATATTTTCTCCTATATATTACAGCACTGTCCAGGTGCTCTGCCTTCAAACTTGGTCCTTTTTGAGGGCTCAACCAGGCCTTCTCCCTCCAGCCCTCCCGCAGGGCCGCGAACCCGGCGGGTGGGAAGCTCGGCAGTCCTCTCATCCCGTGGGTACGGCGGGCTCCACTGGCGGCCCTCCAACACCTCGGAAGCGACCGACACCCGACAGCGGGATCCCGCGGCCCGACCCGCCTCCTCCTCCTCCGGCAGGTGCGGCCCTCCCGGGCCGCCGCTGCGCACTGGGCGGGGCGGGTAAGCTCCTCCTGCTCGGGCACCGGAGCGGCACAGCCGGGACGGCAGGTCTGGGGCGCGGGAGCTGCTTCCCCCAGGCTCGTCCAGGCGCTGCCGTCGGAACGGATCGGAGCGGGGTGGAAAGGCGGCTCCGCCACTGCCGTGCGCGGCCCCGGCACCTGCCGCGAGGTGAGCGAGCGGCCGGGCCCGAGGCGGCGCTTCGCCGCCCGTGTTACCTAACCAGGACCGGGGCGAGGGCGGGGGGCGGCCGCCGGTCGCGCCCCGCCGCCCCGGTCGCTCAGCACCGCTGCCGTGGGGAAGGGGTCTGTGATGGGGAAGGGAGGGGGCGAGTGTCCCCGTTGTCAGGGAGACGGGTCAAGCGGCAGCTCCGGCCGCCGGGGCGCCCCCGGGTACCGGCCGCGCTGCCGCCGGCCCTCGGCTCCGCGTGGGAGCGGCGGGGAGCGCGGGGGGAGGGAGGATGACCCGGAGCCCGGAGGTGGCTCCGGGACGCCGTGAGTCCCGCTTCCCGCGGGGTTATGCGAGGACGTGCTCCGGGTGCTCAGGCTGTGGCGGCTCCATGAAACATGGCTCTGCCGCCTCGAGACGGGCGCTGGAACGCGTCTCGTTACTTGGTGCGAGCTGCGCTCTTCTTGTATCCGAATTTAAAGCTACTCGCTCGATCGACAAAAAGCCTTTGCTCCTCTCGGGTGCTTAAATATCTGAGAGCTCCCAGCTGGGAATGATCTAGTCATCTTGATAGCTGGAACGTTAAATCTGCAGCTCTCGAAATTTAAAAGGTGCTGCTCAGGTGGTTGTAGCACAGGGTGGAGAAAGATTTGGTTCTCGGCACGAAATTCCCTGTTTGGTCAATATGGAGCATTTCTACCGAAAAATCTCGGGTCCCTGCGATGCTGCAGGTTGCAAAGGGCTCGTTGCTGCCAGTTTCCCAGGCCATCGGTGGAGGGTGGATTCAGCCCGTGGAGCGAGCCCGGCTCGCCTGTGCGGGCTCCGGCGGAGTCGGACTGACAGCTGATCCATAACTGTCACACCAAACAGTGGGAAGCAGCGTGCTTGGCATCAGGCACTACAATGAAATGTGAAAGAAACAGAGTTACAGTTTAGATCTTTGTACGGTGAGATAAACTGCAGACGTTGATCTCAGCAAAATAGCGTGACTACATTTTTTAAAGCTTGTTATAAATTTTTGCAGTTTTGTATGGCTAGGAGAATATCTTACAAATGTTTCAGAAGCAAATTGAGGCAAGTCTTATTTGCGTAAATGTTCGTGGCAGCATTTGTTCAGTCGTGAAAAGATCAGGAGCAGACCCAGAGGCCAGAATTCTGTTAACTGTACGGTAAAGCATTACTGTAGCCTTGCCAATTCCTGTTGATTCCGGGATCTGCCTGCATGAAGGAGTTGGCAGGGGTAAGACCACTGAGGCGCGTTCAATAGTTTAGTTTTTGTCCAATAACAGTGTTTTCTGTTTAAGCAGATCCTACAGAAATCCAGTGATATGCTGAATAAGTACAGATGCATAAAAATCCACCAATATACAGCTACTCAGTCACATCTCTGTGTTGTTCAAGTATACAGATGATCAAAGAAAAATTTTTACTTAACTTTGAAAGTATTCCAGAAAAACTCCTTTAATCTTTTGTCTGCTGTTCAGATTGTGAATAATTTGACAGCATCTGTAAAGCACTTTACAGTTATTATGTATGAAGTACTAAGCTACGTATGGGTATTCTGAGAAACTGTTAGAGGATAATAAGCTCTCACTTTAGTAGGACACTAAAAATAATGCGGTCATACCAATTAATGCCTCTTAAGCATAAGATTTTTTTTTAGATGCCTACAGTGTTTATAAATATATTGTGTTTTATTTAACAAAAGTCCCTGTCACTTCCTGTATAAGTACGCATGAAGAACCGTACATTTGGGCAGCTAATGAGTTGGCAGATGGGGGAAAATTGTACTCCTAATATTACAAGGGGGTAAGAAGTTGCCTTAGGATTTCTTCAAAAATGGTCCAGTTTGATTGGTGGGTATACCTTGCATTCAATTCCAAGCGAGAGCAAGTGCTTTTAAGGAAGGGAGTTTTAATATGGAAACTGAGGTGTTGTATATTTCACACTTTGTAGCTCAGCGTGTTGTACAAACCACATAGAATATGAGATTAAGCACTGTCTTTACTGTTAGAAAACAATGTAATATTCTACAACTAAAGATGACTATGCAGAAATTAAATTTCTGGATATATTTTTATGAAAGCAAGCTTGAAAGTGACTGAACTTCAAATTGGCCCTGAATAAATAGCGTAGAATATTGTCTCGGACAGGAAACTTGAGATTCCCTGGGATTTTCTAGTGGAATTTTAGTCTTTCTTCCATTCTTCTTCTCAGTATGAAGGACATGAACAACTGTGATTGAGATGGAAACACCTGTTAAAAGTCTGTGTATTGCTAAACGTGCAAGTGAATTTGACTCAGCATTTGAGCTTGAACACAAAAAGAAATTTGAGTAACATAAAGGAGAGTGGTTTATTTTTTTCCTCTCTTTTTATTCAGAGGAGCAGTACATTTTGAGTTTACAGTAAGCAGAAGTATGGTTGGAAGTTCAGTAGCAGATGGATATTTATGCTTGTATGGGTCATTTCTTCAGTGGGTACTTACACAGCAAAGTAACCGTGATTTGATCAGAGAAAATGCTGTGTTCATTTAAAAAAAAATGACTTTTTTGTTATCTCTATTTTTGATTCAGATGTTGCTTCTGCCTGAAAAGTCAGAAATTGATATAACGTAGCTTCTGACACTGATGATCAGCTTCTACAATGTAGCAAAAAGGAATGTATTCAATAAGAAATTCATGGCACTGCTGTGGTGTTTTTGATCATCTCTACTGACTGGAATATGATTAACTTAATGGCCAAGGATGACAGTAATTTAATGCCACACTAGTATGGGGAAGTGATGATTATAAATTGAACTAGAAATGGGAATTGGATTAAATGAAAAATTAAATTAATTTAATCACTTGGGTGAGAACAGTTGACAGAGTTATCAGGAAAAACTGTCCAAACAAAAATATCATCCACTGTAGTTACGCTTTCCTACTGTAACCACATAGTTGTCTCATTTTAATTCTTTTATTGTAAAGAAATTATCCTTCATATTTCTCATCCATCTAAGATTTTCATATGGTACTTGCCAGTGTATTCTATGCTCTGAGGACTTCAATCACTCAAGAATTGATTGCAGGGGGCGTAGGGGAACTTGTGTTCAAATTTTTGTATCTTTCTTCTTTGGAGATAGAGAAGTGCCAAAAGGCTGAAAATTACAGAGATTTTCCTGAGCAATTAGTAAATTTTTGAAAACCTGATTTTTAATTTTTAACTGTTCCCCACAAAAAATTACTAACTTGTAGTGGTGGTATATCCCCTCAGTTTCTTGAATTATCTGACATTTATACTTGATAGTGAACGACATAGGATCCTTGACATAGTGATTTCTAAATCTTCATTTCTTTCTGTTGTGACTTAATTGGCCTTTTGACCACTTACGAGATAAAATGAGGTCTGCTCTTCTGTCATTCTGTATGCATACTGTATTGCAATAATGTGTGCTTGTAAATGGGATGCTTTTATTTCCAAGAGATTTCTGAAATTTTACTATCAAATTCTGATTACTAAAAATAAGTAATAAGTTGAAATTTTTCACAGGATCTTGTACACAATTTTTTTTAATAATTTTTTTTTAAAACATTTTGGCTCATGTGTGGGTTTTACCCCTGACTGAGTTTTTGGCTTTGAACAGTTAGAACCTTCAATTTTAGAAGAAACATGCTTAGGAGAGCATTTTTTGAGGGGCATTCCTGCTAAGTCTGAAGAAATTCCAGGGACAAGAGGCAACTCTAGGAGGTAATTTCAAGAGAAGAAAATGAAGCAATGATGTTGGCTTTTGGCAGCTTAAACTGGGATACCAGGAGATCTTTGAAACTCCTGGTTCTGGCTGCTCCCATGTGGACCAGCCATCCTGAATCTGCCTGATTTTTATAGAAAGGGAAATGTCTAATGTACACCAGAAAGGAGCTGTAGCAGGTTCTGACAGGTGTTAGGCTGGGTTCTAGGCCACAGTCTTTTGCCATTTCCATCATTCATGGGCTATTGATCTTTGGGCTATTGACTACTGAGTAACCTGGCCGAGTGGGATTGCAAAAATGTTTTGTCAAGATTTTATCAGACTTGTGTTTTAGTTGCACTTTTAACTGTGGAAAAACTTGGAAATAGCTTAGATTTGACTCTGAAGTCCATTACCAGATTTGCTGTGGACCTGCAATGTTTGACTTTTTTCTAGGGAAGAAGTTTTGCACAGACAAGGTACCTGAACTAGAATATGTTTTGTGGTTCATGCTGTCAGTGGCAGCTAAGTCACTCAATGGGCAGATACCTTGTGGGAACTGGGGTAGTAGTAGGGGGTCTATACACCTACATACATTTCTAAGCCTTTGAAATACGTTTCTCCTTTGTCTTGAGAAATGAAAGATGTAATTTCAAAAAGTGAAATTCCAATAGTGAATGCCATGCAAATTCCAGTCACACTAATGCCTGTTTGAAGCTACTGACATTGATATCAGCAGTTGGAGATTCCTCTGTGATGAGAAAGCAATAAAATATTTAAATAGTTATGAGTAAAATAAATCAGAGTCTTCAGAACGTCAATAATACGTGGGAATGCATGATTTTTCCCTAAGTTAGGTGACTACTCTGAACAGTTATGTAAATTGAGAATGTTTTCTGCCAAAATTTCTGTAGCAATATGCTGCAGCAGTTTAGAAGAGCTGTAATTATAGGGAATGAGCTTTTTAGGGGGATAAATATTGTAAATATTTTGATTCATCAGTACTTGAAGGTTATGGTTGTTCTGAAGACTGGCTTTTGCTGCAACCATCTGTCTTTATTTTTCCTGACAGGAATGATATGTATAGTGGTGGGTTTTGACTGTATAGATGTTGTAATGCTACAGCCTAATTTATTGTTGGTTTTTCCTGAATGCTGTGACTATATAGAATGCATCTTAAGATAATGTATTTTTCCCCTGATAGCCTGAACTTTAACATCTTCAAATTTTCCAACCCCTTGTGCCTCCAGAATAGCCTTTCATTCTACCCTTCACTAAGGAAGTGCTTGAAA